AAGGGGCGGCGGGCGCTGAAGAGCTGGTTTTCTATGTGAATGGGAGGAAGGTAAGTGTTGCCTGGAAGGAGTGTGGAGAACAGGGGCCTGCTGTTCCAGAAGTAACCCCCAAGGGTGCGGGCATAAGATTTGGTTTCCTCTGACTTTTCCCTCATGGGAGTATAACCAAATCCTCACACAAGCCTCCAGAAGCACTCCTTCCCATCTCCTCCTTGCTGATTAAGAAGTGAATCAGCCTCCAAATATTACTTTAGTTAGCTAACGCTCTTCTGCATACAACAAGTGCTGTTAAAAGAGGAGAAGCAGCAGAGGTGGACAAATGTGATTTCAATATCCCATTTTAGCTAGTTCTGCTGCATTTGGGGAGAAAAAATGCGTCACAGTGAAATGGACTTTCAGCTGGGTGTCAAGTCTGGCTGGTGAGCGAACTAGTTTTTCATTTATACGTGCCTGGCTTCTCATCTTTACGGTATCAGAGAAGAGGCATCAAATGGTATCAGATTTTCAGAGGCACAATAGAAAGTCAGCAAGACTCAGGTGTCAAAATATGTACTATTAGCCAACATAAAGATAATATTGCAAGAACAAAATTAAACTCGTTGATTCAATGCAGCTGGAAGGAACTAGCCAATTCTAAGCAACTGAATAAGAAATACTGTAATCGATCAAGAATGTAGGCCTTTCTACTGCTCTCTGTTGTTAGTCTATTACAGCAAGTGAAAGTTTATATAAATAAAGCTAGAAGAAAAGTGGTTGCTGCCGACAGCCTTACAGGCTTCCTCTGGTGTTCATCCCAGCAGGCTAAAGTGCCAGGGAGACTCTGAATTCTGCAAATCATTAATTCTTTATGCTCTGGTGCCTCTATTGTAGCAAAGTTCTGCTGCATTTTTTATTTCTAGTGTGGCTGAAGGTAAATTCCGTCAGTGTGACCCTTCACTGAGCAGCAGTTATTTTTAGTAGTTGCAAGGTACCCTGGCACTTCTTCCCTGGCAACATATCTGTCTGAGAAGGCATTTCCAGAAGGAGCCCAAATTCTCCTGTGGTCTTTGGCAATTAGTCTAGTTCTATGAGAGGGAATCAGAGAAGGATTCTCTTCTGGCTTTGTGGGAATGTGGTCTGTGCTCTGAGTTTTGAAAAACATTGGTTCCTTAGTTAAACCTTGTTTTTCATTTCTTACTGCAGATAATAGAGAAAAATGCTGATCCTGAACAAATGCTGTTGTCTTACCTGCGAAAGAGACGTATCCTTTTCTTGTCTGTTCCCTTAAGTCACTCATTTGAAAGCCTTATTTGAGCAAAATTCTCATAAACAAGAATTAAAAGGCGATTTACCAGGTTAAGGAAGTTGTGACTCCCTTAAGATAAAACCACCATATTAAATGATGTGTCTGTCTTAAGCCAAATACTCTTCAGTGAGCTGCTGTATTTTTAGCCTAGTTTCCTAAACAAGCAAAGTTACACCACCAGGCATGATGTGTATGTCTGTATCCATATTCCTCCCTTCTCTCCCCTAAAAGAAACCTAAGAACCTTTTGGCCAGTATAGGTAAAGCTTGACAGACTAGGGGTCTCCACGTTTTGTAAAAGTCTCTCTGCTAGGAAAAGGGAGATCTTGTGGTGACACCCTGAGTCTACTGGAATTTGGGGTAATCTATTTTTTCTTATGATAAGAACTCCAAACAGATTTCTAAACTCAAAAACCAGGTTTAATAGTAAGAAAATATGAACAAGTATGTTTTTAAAACAGAAAAAAAAAATTAGTTAGACAAGACAGAAGCTGGGAGAGCTAGAGATCTCACCTTGCCAGTTTTGTCTTTGCAGACAAGGTTCTTTCCTCATGTCTTGGTTTCAGTCCACAACTCAGTGGCTTTCTGGGTTGCTACAAATTATGCAGCACTTTCTCTGATCTTTTCTTCTCTTTCTTATCGCCATTTCAGAGGCCTGACAGTTCATCTGCTCTCAACTATTCTTAGGAGTTTTCCAAAATCTGCTGCGCCACAAGTTTATTCCCAGTGTTCATGACGCTGTTGTGTAATAGTCTGAACACATGTGCAGGGACTTACAGCCAGGAGCAGGGAGTAAATGTGGAAAAGAGCAGAATCTCTCCTTTTTGCAGCTTCCTAGACTGTCTCATGAAACATACCCCCACAGGGCAAGTGATGTACTGTATACTACAGAATTCACACAGGAGAGAATTTTTATATTTGTCTTAAAAGAAAAACTTAAGTCAAAATATGTTTGTTACTGGTCAGTCATAAGGAGTCTGGAGCAAAATAGGTTGCTGTAGTTATGGTGCCTATGAAATTATTCTTCAGTAATTTGAACAGCTTCAGACTCCATCGGACTATAAAAAGTAGAATCATAGAATCATTTAGGTTGGAAAAGACCCTTAAGATCATCAAATCCAACTATTAACCTAACACTGCCAAGTCCACCACTAAGCCATGTCGCTAAGTGCCATGTCTGCACATCTTTTAAATACCTCCAGGGATGGTGACTCAACCACTTCCCTGGGCAGCCTGTTCCACTGCTTGATAACCCTTTCAGTGAAGAATTTTTTCCTAATATCCAATCTAAATGTCCCCTGGCAAAACTTGGGACCATTTCCTCTTGTCCTATGGCTTGTTACTTGGGAGAAGAGACTGACACCCACCAAGTAGCTCAGTACTAGCCCTATCACAAGAGTTGTACTTCATTGGTTAAAGTGCATTCGTGTGTGAGATAATGTAATTCTGCACTGACTTGCTTTGACAACTTGAAAAATCATTTAACCTTTCTGTATCATTGCACTTGGCTTATAAAATGAGGATAATATTAACTTGTTTTGAGGAGCTAGTTGGTTTCACCATACAGTTTAGATGTCAACTTGTAGTATTCCTGCCCTCTGTTGGTTAGGTCTGTATGATGGTGTGCCACTCCCTGAGATGCCTCTGCCCAGCAGGAGAGACTACTTTGTTAGCCAGATAGAGGAACTTATCCTTTTCACAGCAAGCCTCCACATAAACTTCAGTTAACATAGCTAGGGGGACATCTGACTTTGGTAAAGAGACAAAAATTAATGTCAGGGAACAAAAATACAGGACAGGAATATCTTATGCTGATGTTGCCAAATTCATTATAATGTGAAATGATTGCCTGAGTGAGCATGAGGAACTTTAGCATCTGGAAGGCCCATTGTAAATTAACAAGTAGAAGTGCAAGCAGGGAAGAAACTGTATCTTAACATGGGTTTGCTTTATCTAACAGATTGGGATATCTGTGAAAGGGCTCAGTAAAATGCTTTCTGTGGAAAAGATTTCACAGTGGAAAAAGTAGTAGAGCTTAATTAGATAAGACCTTAAAGCAATACATGCATCTCAAAGCTTTACTGCAGGTGAAGAATGCTAACGCTCACATTGACAAACATTTTTTCTTTTGACAATGTGATGTGAAAAGAATGCCTGTTTCCCCACCATCGTTCCTGGCTCCTGGTAGACAGTTCTCTTCCTGCACCTTGTGCCAGCTGTCACAAATTCCTCAGACCTCTCTGTGTACTAATTTGACTCATTAGGCCAGCAGAAAACTAACCCAGGAAAAACAGAGGCTTTCAGCTGGATTAGGGACTTGGTCGCTAAGTAGTCAGCTTCTCATTAATCAGTTCATGGAAGGGACTGGTGAGGAAGAGACTTGGTACAAGAGATCTTGCGTTTTGGAGCAGGTAGTTGTTGGGAAGGGGAAGGACAGAAGAGGAGAAAGAAATGGGGAGTAAGGCTTCTTCCTTTTGGTGGCATTAGAACATTAAATTAGCTGTTGGTCGATTCACAGCTTCAGATTGACCACTATTCCCGATTCATAGAAACAAGCACTTCTTTTATAAGTGTGATCTTTCAGATGAGATGCGAGGTCAATATCCTGACTATAAATAGGCCTTCTGGGAAAAACTGGGATATTGTTTTTAGTGTTCCACTGGAACTTCATATATATAGCTATTTTGCCCATTACACATTTTTTCCTTTCATTCTTTCACTTGGAAAACTGTTTTTCATTTCCTCTTTCTGTCCCAACTTACTCCTCTTCCAAAAGAAGTCAGAGCCAAGTTTTCTGTTTTCTTGGGAACAGGATTTTGGTCATGTCATTCCTTAGCTTCAATCTTCTTTTCATGGAAAATTTTAATCCAACATAGAAAGGAGTCTGATATGCATGCTATCATACCAAACCAATTCTATGTTCTGTAGCAGTTCAGGAAAAAAGGTGGCCTCAAACTTTTGAGCAGAATAAAGACCAAATAAAACCTGATAATTTTTTTTCCCTAATGACAGCTTTTCAGTTCGTCTTACAGGAACTAAGTATGGCTGTGGAGGAGGTGGCTGTGGTGCCTGCACGGTGATGATATCAACTTATGAGCCAGCTTCAAAGAAGATACGGTAACCTTTACAGAAAATTTTGAAAACCATACAGAATTATATAACTGTAGATACCACGTCCAGATATGAAACTGTAAAAACAAAGTTGTAAAGTCTGTACTTAATAGTAAAAGAATCCAAAAGAAGGCTCACTTTAATCCAAAACAGACTGCTGTAAAAAGTACTGTTCATTCAGCTATGTTGTAAATTTGCTGAAATATCATGCTCAGATGCTTAATTTGCTCATATATGCTGACAGCTCCTGCAAGGAGTTTTCTCATATATTTAACACCCTTCGTATTGACCACTGGAATGTGGCTCCTACCTGCAGCTCTGTCATATGACTGATGGGAAGATAGGGCAGGCAGAAGTCTGAATCTTAGCAGCCCTTTAATATGGAACTCCGTCCCTACACCCCACCCACAAAAAGAAGGACTTTGAAACTCAAAAACAGAATTCCAGTAAGCTAAAAACTGGAATAAACTACTTTTAAATGGAGAAAACTCCAGACAAATTGCTAACCAATGACATGTCATTGTCAATTGAGTATTTTTTAGGTGGACAAAAAGTAAAAATATTCCAGTTGTTCCTTTTGACAATTGCATGACATTGGAATGCAATGCAAATTAAAATCTTTAAAAGTTATTATAAGAGTTGAAATTACAGCAGTCAGAATGTCACTTGAAAAGAAACATTTCAACTATAGTAAAACAAAACATTTTATTGCTAATGATGAAAATCTTTAAAGAATTTTCATTTTGGTATGTTCCTATTTAGAAGGATTTTTATTTTACATCAGAATTTCCTTTGGGTCAGAAATTTGATTGCACATTTTCAGCAGTAATACTTTACTTCCTGCAAACTACTACATTCCCCATCTTCCTTCTTCAAAACACACTTGACAGGTTGCTTGTGGGCAAGAGACACAAGAAGGCAATTAGAAAAGACTGAAATGTTAGGGAAGATATAAATTCTACAGAACTGTCCTCATATATGCAGTTTTTATACTGGGGACAAAAGATACAGCTAGTAAGTGATCCCTTATATAAAGCTTATTCTCTTCTCATTCCAAATGATAATAATGACTGCTTTGTAAGTATAAACTATGTCTTGATTGACTGCAAAATAATACTCATGTACCTTTATCACAATAAAATAATATTAATGGTTTTTATTCTCCTTTATGTTCCAAAGACATTATTCAGCAAATGCATGTTTGCTTCCCATTTGCTCCTTGTACGGTGCAGCCGTCACCACGGTGGAAGGTGTTGGAAGTACAAAAACCAGGGTTCATCCAGTTCAGGTGAGAGTACAGTATCACTGTGTAAGAGGATTACCGATTTCTTCCTTTATATGGGCTGGCTTGAGTGGCAGTGCTTTTAGGGCATGGGAATTTGCCATGATGATTATTCTCCTTGCTAAATGATAACAGAAGACAACACAAGTTTCTGATGGTTGGTTGGTCAAGGCTGATGAGATATGGCTCATAATGGATCTTGCATCTTGTCAATACTGACGGCCTAATCAAATAGTTGCTATGTAAGAACTGTTGGAGTAGATCAGGCTTGTGCTCTATTTGGGCTAACAGTGCATCTTGGACAATGCCCTTTTAACTGATGTTTTAGTATGAATGCAAAAAAGACAGAAGTCTGCTGAGGGTTAATTAGCTTCCTTAGTAAGATGTGTCTGGGCATCACACCCAAGATAATGATTCTTATTTGAGATTGCTTAAATTATTTTACTTAAAAGGTCTGATTTGCTATGAAGATAACATTTAGTATGGCATTTCCCATTTAAGAGAGAGTTCATTAGAATGGTGATGTATGCTGGCAGGAGTGCTATTTGTGGTGTTTCATTTCAGGAAAGGCTTGCCAAGTGCCATGGCTCCCAGTGTGGTTTCTGCTCCCCTGGAATGGTGATGTCCATATACACTTTGCTAAGAAACCACCCAGAACCATCTTCAGAGCAGATGATTGCAGCTCTGGCTGGTAAATATTGCCACTTTTTAATTTGTAGGTGTGTCCTTGAACCCTTTGCTTCAGATACTTTGTGTATGTGAGTGCACATCTGTGTGAGTACACATGAATGCATGTATGTATGTACTCTATACAAATTGTGCTTCCCAGGAGAGTTGCTACTCAATACAGACCTTGTATTCCCTGTCATTCTTTTCTCCTGAAAAATTAAGCATGGAGCTGTGGATTGTTTCAGGGACAGGTGTTCAAATCATCCCCATTAGGTGTCTTTTGAAGTGCTTTAAACCAGATGTGCAAAAATTATGTCATACTGGAGAAGTAGCTGCATCTGAAGGTCTCTGGGATCCCATTACATCTGGAGTTGAGAATCTCACAAACCTCACAGGAGAGCCCCTTTGTCGTAGGAATAAAACAGTCAAATAAGGTAGAGAGATGCAGACCATCTTTGCTAAGGGGAAGGGTGAGCATTTATTGCAGGTGAAATAGCCTTCTGTCATCCATTGTGCCCTAGGGTCACAGTGGAGGCAAAGTCATTTCCTGTTACGATGAGGTGGACTTGGAGGTGTAATGTTAACCTCCTTCACTATTAGAAATAAGTCAGAGGGAAGGAGAAAAACATTTTGAATGGGTGAAGAATATTGTACAATCTCTTATTCTCATGCATACTAAGCTGTGGTCAGCGTTCCCTCTAGTGCAGCTCTCAAGTATTTCGTACTCCCATTGAAACGATACCCTTTTTTCTCAGGAGTTGCAGGGTCCTAAGTCTTGTGATACTTATCTTTTTTGTCTTTTGGAGAGCTAACACTTCTTAAGCATCAAAAATGCAAGTTCATATAAAGACATGACGTTTTAAAGCCACATGCTTTAGAACAAAGCTTTTTCTCACTGATATCCTTTTTTCAGGAAATTTGTGCCGCTGTACTGGATATAGGCCGATCTTAGATGCCTGTAAAACCTTCTGTAAGGTAAGAAGTAGTGATGCTAGGAATACTAGATTGTGCTTATTAGTTTTTATATACACATGCACACACACACACACACAAACAATCAAGATTTTCATTAAGATCATACCTTTCCTCTGTTAAGAGATGTAGGTCCGAGTAAGGTGTTTAATGGCCTAACCTAATTACAAAAATTGATTAACACAAACTAACTTGGTGTCTAGCCTGGATTATGAAGAGTAATCTGAAGTAACTCCCATCTGTCTCACTGTGGGTCAGTACTGTCATAAATAAAAGCAGAATTTGGATTGATGTTCTCAGTAATTAATCATGTAATGCAACATGTCAGAAACCTACAGTGAAAGAAATGGGAGAGTGAACAGTGGGTAAAAGTAATAATGCAGACCATCTATGTGTGGTCTCACAAGGTCAACTGAATTTCACATAGTATGAATTATTTTATATTAAGGACTTCAACATCCGATGATTTTAAGCTGTTTTCTAATATCACTTCTTTAATACATAATCCTTCCAATTTAGTTTATTATTAATCTTAATCTAGAACTTAATTGACATATAAAGAGATACTCTTCTTGGCTTAAGCAGGCTTTACCTCATCACCATTCTGGGCAATATTTCACTAATGGGATATTCCTGCTTTAGGAATCCAATTGTTGTCAAAGGAAAGCCAGTGGAAAGTGTTGCTTGGATGAGGAAGATGATTTGTTTGACAAGGAAGAGAAGGTAGGGTTTTAAGTGTTTTACCTGTCCTATTTAGATATAAAATTTACAGAAAGAATATTGCATGGCTTTTTTCTTGTAATGAAAGTAAATGCAGTATACTCAGCCATTTTTATGCTCCACCTTATTCACTTTACATAATCTTATTTGTAAAATAAGTTATTTTATTATTCTTCACAAGAAATTTGGAGGTATTTCTAAAAATTAAGGGTTCTTTGTGTATGTTTCTATGAGGAGGTGATGACGTGGCAGATAGTTTGTATAAGGCAGTTTGGCTTTCCAGAACTGAGATTTGAGCAGTTCTTCAAGTTCAGGAATATTAATAGTCTCAGCTCGACTCGTACAGTGATCGTCATATTGTGCAAGAAATCAAGGCATATATGGAACTATCTTAAATCAATGATCAGTGATGATCTGAATGTAATCACTGATCTCTTAGGAATCTAACTGCTGGCTTGAGTCTGAAGAACTGATACACTCTTAAAAATGAGAGTTATGATTGTAATTTTATATGAAACTTTTTATCCATATGAATATTTGACTTTGTTCTCAATTTTCTTTCAACAATATCTGATTTACTACTTTGCTTTTTGAGTACTGTAAGTTGACATGAAACCAGCTACTTTCTTGTAGCAGGACTACAGGAAGCCTGTAGTTAGTCTTTCAGTTGCTTTCAGTTCTACACTGTCATCTCTGCTAGCAGTGAACTTTGAGAAACAGTTATGAACACTTCCTTCACCTCAGCAGCTGCAAATGATGCATGGTAATATATATGAAATCCAAATGATAATGGAATTACTAATTTTCTGCTGACTTCAGTGGGACTTCAGGGACCCTCATGGTTTGTTTTTGGGTTTGCCTTTTTTGTTTAAATGGAATTAATGATGAGAGAAAATTCTTGGTCTTTGCTTATTTTCTTTCTTTTTAAGGTTTCCACCAGACTATTTTCAACAGATGAATTCCAGCCTTTGGATTCCACTCAGGAGCTTATATTTCCTCCAGAACTAATGGTAATTTTTGCTGTTTATAGACTATTATTTAGCTCTGTCTTTGCCTTAGTAGTCCATAGTTCATAACTCATTTTGGTGTTCTCCTTATCAGTAATTCGTCAGAACAAATGTCATAACATTATAATATAAATCCAAAATTATATTCCTTCTTTTTCCCAGTGAGCTTATGGAATATTTACATATCAAAAATAATCATATTGGGGAAATGAAGTTGCAGAGTTACGTATTAGGTGAGAAAACAAAGAAGTAACCTAAACTGGGTTTTCAGTGCAGCACCTGAAGATACAAACGCTTGTCAGCAAACTCAATGGCAAATGCTTTTTAACATTGGCAAAACAATGCTTTTTCCCCATTTTGTGCCTCAATAGTTTTGTTGGTCTCTTCTGTTAAAATGTCAGCCTCAGATAGCCACCCAGACTGGAGAGTGTTTAGCCCTAGTGGTTTAAAGCATGACAAAGATATAAGCAGCTGAGATAAGGGCACTGGAATGGAAAGTGTCAGGCATCCTTGATTATTGACAGCAGTATTTGCCCTAGAAAAACTGAAAGCTCTTTGCTTTACATTATTGTCAATATAAATTCCAAGTCAAATTCTCTATAACTAGCTGTCTGTTTATGGAGAAAGGTTGATAACTGTGGGACAAAGGTTCTTGCCTGTGTGTTTGTACTACCACTAGTTCACAAGCTATTTCCAAGTGATCAGTGAACAGTGATAGAAGAGTCAGAGACATCCACATGCATGCGTGATCTAGGAAGGGATGCTGCTGCTGGTGTCATTAGTGACCTCCAAGCACGATAAGTGTGCAAACACCTCCCTAAGTATTTTTTATAACTTTTCTAATAATTTTATCAATCTATTGCTACATTTTTCTTAGAGGCTATTTATTATCAATCTTGTTTATTAGCCCATTGGAATTAATCAAAGATGTTTCACCCATACAGTCTAGAAATCCACCACTGTGCAAAGAGCCAGCATAACAGTCCCATTTCTGTCCAATTTTGAAGGAACTGCCGTTGTTGAAGAACCTCTTTTGACTTTGTCTGGTGTCTGTTAGACCTTCTACCTGCCTATAATATTTAAATCTGCCATATTTCCCCATCAGAGAATGGCTGAAAATCAACCAAAAAGAACTCTGGTTTTTCATGGGGAGCGAATGACATGGATTTCTCCTGTACACTTAGATGAATTACTGGATCTGAAAGCTGCCCACCCTAAAGCACCTCTTGTGGTTGGGAACACTGCTGTGGGTATGTATACAATCAGAATGGCTCCTGTTGCCATCGTTCCAGTGTGCATGGGGAGGAGTGGGGCTATGTTTATCATTCTTTTTGCATTTTCATCCTTAAGCTTACTCTCCACTATATTGGAGTTGTCATTACAGAAGATATCTTTTGTCTAAGTCTATTCCTGTCTGGTAGGACCTGAGATGAAATTTAAAGGCGTGTTCCATCCAATTGTTATTGCTCCTGCAAGGATCCCGGAGCTGAATGTGGTGAAATGCACGGATGATGGTCAGTAGACTTTACTTTGTTTAGACATAGGAAATCCCTCTGCAATAAGGGATGCTGCTCCATTCCATAGTGTTGAAGGTGTGAAGTGCTGTGCAGCTCATTACTAAGCATGCTTGGTTCTTTCCCAGGTGAAGGTGGCTGTGGCTATTGTCCCAATGCATGATACTGAGTTTTGTCTTCATAACACAGTGCAGTGCTGACCAGCGATATTATCCTGGGCCCCATTAGTCATAATAGTGCAAGGGTAATTATTCTGGTAGTACTGCTGTTAAGTCGTGCAATATTTGCTTTGTGATCTCTGTACCATGCTATGCTGTATAGCAGAGACCCATACAGAACCACAGAGAGACTTAGCAACATTGCATGCTTGTCTATATTAGAAAAAAGGCTGTGATTGTGCTGGCATAGCTAATATGCATTAAGTAATCTTGTTCTCAATCATGTCAGCATGAATTATTGTAGATTAAAAATTTTGTATCTCAATTTATATATTTAAGATAAGCCTGGAGATTTTTTTTTTTTGTTAAAGTTGGACTAGGTTTTAGTTTTTAACTAAGTTCTATTGAAATTAGAAATAACAACTAGAAACAGATTTAAATTTACTATAATAACCTAAATTAATTAAATATAAATTATGTTGTGCAAGTTTACTGCCAAGGTTTTAAGAAAAGTCAAACCCTATATCTGGTGAAAGTTATTTGCTGTATGCCTGAAGACTCTTCTTTGAAGTGATAAACTGTATTTGACAGTTCTGTCATTGCATTTAGAGTATCTTTTTCATTGGAGATCAGTCATTCAGTTCTGGTCAATGACTAGTTTGTTCTTAGCTGAAAAGTGGTTGGGAATTGAAAAGAGGCAGGGAAAATGTTTATTGCTTCTTTTAGTCTATAAATAAAGTCTAGTTATGAGAAGGTGAGACTTACTAGTTCTAAAACAAGAGATATGCAGTTTAGCTTGCCATCCAGAAATAGTATTTCCTCCCTTTAAACAGATTTAAATGCAAAACATGTTTTATTTTTTTTAAAAAACCACAAAATTTAGTATTGCTTTACTTGATTAATAAAAATAATTTTAAAATTATATATATTGATTTATATTTTTATTGTTCTTTAAAAACATTCATCCATTACATAAATAAAGTCTATTAATACTTTTGAATAGAAAGGCACTATTTACCATTTTATAATATTGACATTTTTAAAAAGTATAATCTCTTAAAAATTTTGAAATGTATAACAACTCAAATAAATGCATGTACTTATAGGTTGTCTTTCTAGTGGGAAAAAGGATACCATATTCAGTGTTAGGACTGTTTAGGTTTTTTTGCAAATACCATCTATCCCTCCCTAGGAGAATAACTAGAATGTACGTATGCAAACCAAGATCAAATTATGATGAAAATCACGTTTAAATATAGGAGGAGCCTGTTGAAAGCATTTTGAAGCTGACTTACCTTTGGGTGAAACATCACCTAAACATTTACTCCATCAAAGTTCGTGCAACAGTTGGAATGGGCAGCTGGAAGCAGAGAAGGGATTTACCTTTTAGTAGAAGTGGTGAGCTATTAGCTCAATTTCAACATTTCATGAAATTTTACCCTCAGTTTCCTAAAAGGTAAAAGGTATTAAAGGTCACGGTCCCTTTAATATGCAAAGGCCCGTCTCCTTATATCTGCCCGTTGTTCCGTATGAGCAGTCCTACCTCTAGAGTCTGAATATAGTTTAAAACCCAGGCAATAAAGCAATGCACACATTACAGTTTCATTGTCCTTTGGTTACAGGATTAACCCTGGGAGCTGCCTGCAGCCTCTCTCTAGTGAAAGACATCTTGACAAATCTAATCTCAGAGTTCCCTGAAGAGAAGACAAAGGTGTTCCGTGCTGTCTTGCAGCAGCTAAGAACTCTTGGTGGAGAACAGATAAGAAATGTTGCTGTATGTTGTGTGTTGCTTGCAATAACAATTGTAACAAAGTGTAACAAATGTGAAATTGCTCCCAACCACATGTAAAACTTGCATTTTAAGTTCTGTTTTTAGCAGTGAATTTTCTGTCAATACATCTTTTTTGAGCTTTCGATATGTATAAATTTATGTATAGTCTGCATGTTATATTGTCACTTAACATAAAAATGTGAAGATGATGGCAAAAGGTGACATAAATTTCTTTTTTTCAAGTCATTAGGTGGTAACATCATGAGTAGAAAATCAACCTCAGACTTGAATCCTATTCTGGCAGCCAGCAACTGTATGCTCAATCTGGCTTCAAAAGGTAAGAAGAGACAGCCTGCAAGTGCCAGAGGTACAGAATCCTGTTTTATGCGGATAGGGGAAATAACAACAGGTGAGCATTTGTTAAGGAACCCTTTTCCCACTCTCATACAAGACCACATCTGCAAGAGAAGCAATTTGCAAATGAAGAACATGTAAGCATTTAGATCAACCAGATCATGTGTACTTCTGTGGGAAGAGAATTACTATAAGTGCTCATAAAACCGCACAATTTGAGTAGCTGTGTACTACCTCCCTGACTTCTGGTAGTTTTTTCTTTTATTGATGCTTTGCCCTGGTTTTATAATCACCCTCTGGCCCTGACAAGAACTCTGGCTTCTCACTCCTCACACATACTTATTTCTGACAGAGGAGCCACTAGTCCAGCACCCTTTTCCATGCCTGTTTCCATAGTTTCCTTCCATCACTGTATATATACTCCCCTCTACCTGCTGCTTTTCTTGTGCATTACCTTACCATTGGAAGGTTGATGAAATTATTGGTAAACATGAGCTGTCTGGTGGCCTGGAATTGCATTTTTTATCTTCTAGCTGGCTTATGTCCTTTTTGCCCTTGATCCAGACAGAGTGAGTGCATGTAATACTCCATTCAACATACTCCAACCATGTAATACTCCATTCAACACCCTGAAATACATGTTCTTTAAGGGATTGTTTCTGAGCCAGGATTACTTAGAACAGATACACAAAAACTTATGTTGTGTGGTTTCTGTGACTTCTTACTGCATAGTTTGTCATTGAGAGGATAAATACTTTCACTGATAAGTGAAAGTACAAACATTTGCAGCTTCTTACTGAACAATTCTAATGATGTGCCTACTTATTTGAGTGATGAACAGGATCACTGTTTGATATCTCTTTCTGTTAGCCTGGCAGAACTTTACTGCTAGGGAAGAGTTTTAGGCATTTTCACAGGTTTTTAACATATTTCTTTACCAAACAGTGGTCAGTAAAATGTAGGAAAAGTGGATTGTTCAAGCAAAGGAGGTTGCAGAAACACTATTAGTTTTTAGTATTTATCTTAGATCATGGTGTAAGAGAAAACGCACCTTATTAGGTCCTGGCAGACTCACAGGTGGGACTGGACAATATATATATGTAAACCAAGTGTATTCTGGATGGAATTGCAAAGGCAAAAATCCGGAAATAGCAGTGCTGCTATTCTTAACAGTGTTATTTTTCAGATTCACACTTCAGCAAAATAAAATTAATTTACTAAAGTTTTGCTGTCACACTAGTTATATTTGAGGAATGCAATTTTAATGCTAAGTGATATTCTAGGATGAACAGCAGGTTACAGTGTCATCATCACTTGTAACATGAAGAAAATAATCTTGCTGTAAAGCAGCCAGTCTTGAAGTATCATGTTCTTTGAATGTGAGGGGAGTATTTTAATATATGAACCTTTTAAAAATGGCACAGAAGATTATCTGGTTATAGAAAGTCTTGGGATAGGTTAGGGCTCCTGCAAGATAAATATTGTCTACTAATAAGAAATCATTTATTTAAAAATTCATCAGACCCCTTTGCCCCATGGGCAAAGTACAAAGGACACAGAAGACTATTAAAAAATACACTTTGAATTCATCTGTCAAATACACATGGTTAAATTCCACACTGGTGAATCACTGGGGATTTCCATCTGTACAATATTTATGCCTCTGTGTTCTTGCAGAACCACAATGCTACTTGACAGTTGTGTTACTGATACAGTTGCAGTCCTACCAGCAAAACTCCTTGAACCAATGGAGCTTGTTTAATCAAGAGAATCAATTATATGTGTTAAAATGTTGCATTTCCAGAAGGCTTGCTAGCTTAACTGTGTAGTGACTTTGGCAAACCCCATGTAGCATAGATGAAGTTCAGGTGTTGAAAGGGCTGTTACAGATTTAGGTTCCTTGCAGAATTTTGTCCTCTTCCCTTTTGAAAATTCCATCTTTAATAGATCATAGAATGATAAACATAGTCACTTTTAGAATAATCTACCAAAAAAAAAAAAAAAAGAAAGGAAAAGGCCATAGCATTTATTCCCTTCTAGACTCCTAGAAGTGTTCAGAATCTCAGAATGAAACAAAACAATACAAAATCAAAACAATCACAATTTTTTTTTACTTTTGCATCAGTTCTCTCCCATTTAGTTTTCTTCCCCATTCTTTATGTTTTAGAAGGAAAGATAGTGATGACAGCAGCTGCAGAGATTTGGAACAGATTGGCAGGAGTGGGGATAGGATCATTGTGGCAATATCAGAAGGGAGGATTACAGAATGCGGATTGATCTCTGGGCACTTTCTTAGGACTCTGGTGTTATGATACTATGGAAGATGGAGCAGTCATTTGTATTTATAGAGCATACCACTAATAATTTGTTACGTAAACTCTGCACTTATTATTTAAGGCTGCAGATATTTCTTGCTAATTAAAATATGATTGATGTATGTTAATTGCACAATTCTACTGAAGTTTCTGGATTTGGGTTGTTTTTTTAGGAAGAAAGCGACAGATTCCTTTGAGTGATATTTTTGCAGATGGAGTTGGTAACAATACCATTATGCCAGAAGAGATCTTAGTCTCTGTCCATATTCCCCATTCTAGGAAGGTAAGTTACCAGTTTGTTTAGATTTGCTTTATGCAGAGTTAAAGACTATTAAATAAAGAGCAGGAGGAGGCATAATTCCTATGTTCGAATTAACACTATTAGTGCTCACTTTCTGAATTCCTTATATTTAATCCTTTCAGTGCTTTACTATCTCTCAGTTTCAGCCAAAACCACAACTCAACAGGTATTTGGTAATATATAAAGACTGATATCCAGACAAACGTTTATGCTAAAATGATAAGGGCAATAGCAGTTGCCCATACAGAAAGGGATCTTGGACAAGCTGCCATAGTCTTCACCAAAGCAGGCTGCTCACCTGTTACATGGTTGGCATCAAGTAGGTAAAGCATTGTCATCTCTTGAGTATTTTTCTTAAAATGAAATAAGATTGGACATGTGCATGGTGCTTCCATAAATGCTGCTGAACTGAATAATAGTCTTTAAGTGATACTGTGTTTTGCAATACTGGATATGGGAACTTACAAGACAATTATGGGTCATGTTATCTGAGTACTGAAGTTTGGCAATACTCTGAACACTCTAAGTTTTTGGTCATGTTATAAATGCCACCCTATTATCCTCCTCCACTCCACAAGATCCTTGTCTTCCAGCTACCTACCCTGAATAAATCTAGGTCATCTGAACTGCGTAGACGATGGAGGGTTGGGTACGGGCTGCCAGAAAATCAAAGAAGCTAAAGCTACTGAAAGGTCAAGAAAAGAAAGTGTATGATCTTGAATGCTCGCGAAGTTGAATTTGTGCTCTTTGTTTTTTATTCTCTTGCTTTATGTAGTGCAATAACAAGTTCTGCTTCCAGATACTTACACGTCTGCAGGTTACCGACTTCTGTCTGATCTTCCTCAGGGGGAGTACGTCTCTGCATTTCGACAAGCACCACGACGGGAAAATGCTCTCCCAATAACCAATGCTGGGATGAGAGTCCTTTTTGAAGAAGGCACAGACATAATAAAGGATTTAAGCATTTTCTATGGAGGTGCTGTCTCAACTACAATCTGTGCAAAACAAGCCTGTTGGACACTTAACGGGAGGTACAATTTCTCTGCCTTCTCTACATCTTCTAATAAAGAGTCTTTGAGAGATTAGGTGTACTTGCTTGGAGCATGAGTACAGCAAGATTTCACTTGCCCAGCTGATGCCACATATGTTCAAATGAATGATGTGATCAAGCCTTAATGATGACTTTTCAGGATTCTTACATCTTGGATTCTGCACATGGGTGCAACTCCGGTGTAAAGTGTGCAGAGAGATATGATCTGTGAGTTAGGTGGATGAGGTACACATAGTCAGTTGTGCACCTGAACCCAAGCATTAGTAAATGATGCTGTACCCCATGGGTTTGATAATCCCATAATATCAGTGTTCTTGAGTCCTTCAGTTCGGCTCTAATAGATACAAGGAGCGAGAATTTCAGATGTGCCCAATAAATTTAGGAGCTCAAGTCAAGCCTTAACTTTTTCAATATCTCTTCATCTACAAGATCCTAATAATCTCTGAAACTAATCCCTGACACTTCTTCCCTACTTTGCAGCATCTTTCCAAGGTTTGGAGGAAAAAAATTACAAGTAATTCAAGCAGTATAAAACCATTTATCTAAATGGAGTCCCACTGGACTGTTCTACCATTTAATATGCAACTGTTTCACTACTTGAAGTACTCATTATTTTTTCCTGCTTTACATAATTAAATTTATTCTAACATATTTGTATTTTGATATCTAGGGTTGTGTATACTATGGACAGTTAACTGTGTTGAGCTACTTCAAGGAGACAGCCTTTTTAGAAAATGTAACAACTGTTCAGCACTGATCAGATCCCATGAAAGCATCTACAGTTTGTGTCAATATTGTTAACCACTTTTCTTTAAATATAGGACAGTACCTGCAGAATAGTGATAATCTGTAAGACTGTTAAATCAACTTTAAAGCTGTAATAGTTTTTATTTATTTATTTTTAAAAGGCTGACATAGCACTCAATTCCATTGACTTCTGTGAGCAACATTGACCTACACTGTTTTCAAAACTGCAGACCATCATTAGAATCAGTATTTTGACTTCACTGTGAGCAGGACCTGTAGTCCATGATATAAAGGTATTACTGTAATTTGTATTTACTTTTTCGAGTCCTGGTCTGATTGTATCTATTATTATTCCTGACAGACACTGGAATGAACAGATGTTGGATGAAGCTTGCAGACTAGTTCTTAAAGAAATTGCTCTTCCAGGCTCAGCCAGTGGTGAAAAAGTAGACTATAAGAAAACTTTGATAGTCAGTTTCTTCTACAGATTTTTCCTGGAAGTATTGCAGTCATTGAACGCCACGGTAAATTAGTTCTCCATGTCTGCTTTTGTGCAAGCAAATGAAAAGTTTTTTTTCTATCTATTCACCCTTGCACTTTGTAAAATGTGCTAAATATTGTCTTTGGGGTTCAGATCTACAGAAGAACGTAAGTGCTTAACTCCCAAAGAGACTGATGGAGAGATGCCCATTTAAGTTTAGGTGCACTGATACCTTTACCTTAGACATTACGCTGTTAAAAAACTTGCACAATGTTAATGCAACAATATATCAATATTGAGCTCCCAGGCCCAAAGAAAACATACATGAAGTCTTACTCAATCTGTCTGTAGTTCAAAACATAAATAGACAGAATAGAAATAAGGGCTTTGGAAAGCAACTGTAGCTGTTAAATCAACCCTCCTTCTTGTATGAGTTGTTGACTGGGAAAAGAGGAGTCTAAAATTTCACTTCCCAATACATTCTAGGTGTAACTTACTTATTTTTGCCTTAAATCTGTTCTTACGAGGAAAAATATTCCTTTTGCCTTTTTCTTCTGTCTTATCTTGAGCTCTTTCCTCTGAATTACCATCACTAGGTAATTCACTATTACCAGGAGTAATTCTGTGCCAGTTTTGATCAGACCTTAGAACAAAGCTCTTCTGAGTATGCCTGCTCTATGTTGCTTACTTTAAACAAGTGTATTTGTTGAATCCAATGTATTTTTAAATATTATTTAGTGAAATCTCAAAACTCTTACAGTGTTTTCAAATTCTTATTTTAGAGTCTTTCTAGCTTGTGAGAGTCTTGAAGGAATTTCCTGTATAAAAAGTTTGTATTTGGTGATTCTGGTTGTTAGCTTTTTTAATTGGAATGTTCAAAATACAGGTTTTAGTACTAATTCACTTCCTTTTCAGGATCCTTGCCACTATCCTGGCATACCTATGGAATATAGGGATGTCCTACAAGATTTCCAAACCAAAATGCCCCAGAGTATCCAAATATATCAGGCAAGTGATTTTATTCTAAGATTTTTCTGTGCTTTTAAGGCTTGGTAAAAAGTCACTGTTCAAGCATGACCCTTGCTTTGAAGCTCAGGTACAAATTTTCCAAAGGATTGAAAGCAACAGGCTCTTAATGGTTGGTTTTAACTGTATGTCAATTAGAAAAACCTTGTCTGTAAAAATAGACTTATATGGGTGTATGAGTCTATTCTTTCACTTCTTCTAAACAGTTCTCAAAAGACAAATATGCTAAACAAACTCCATTGTCACACTGCTTAAATTTGGTGTATTGCAGTATGCAAACCAACTGGAAAAAATCAGAAGAAAATAAAAAAGATTGAGAAGTCCAAGTCTATAGCTATCACTATAGTATTCTGGTCTCAAGATAGACTTTTCTTAAGATCTCAGAGGTCTCTTAGGTCTTATTGTAGACTTAAAAGTTGAGATGGAGTTTGTGATGGCTATCTGATCAAATTAACAAGAGTATTCAAGGAGAAGTCAGCAGTAGAGGGCAGCAAAGAACTTTTGGATTTTTTTGAGATCTCCCTTGTGACTAGATGATGGTGGAAACTCCTGCAAGGATTTTTCATATTTTTATACCATCAATACACAAGTAAAAATCTCAAGTTTTTGAAAACCTAAAGAAAATTCAAAAGAAATCTAGGGAAACGTTTTTTTCTTTTTCAAATATTCTTTAGAATTTTAACTTTAAATACTTAACATTTGTTTGAAGTAGTTATCTTCAGCTTCTTTCAGAGTTATTAAAAAAAGACAGTACAAACTTATAAAAGGGACCAAGATCAAAGGAACTAGGTTTTTTATGACTTTCAGCAATTTATTCCCCAGCTGCAAGAAAGTAACTAAACAACAGAAATTGAAACTATATTATTCAATTATCTGGAATTGAGCAACAGAAATAATTTAGAAACCCAGAAAATCTGTTCTTTCACTTTAAATTTCTATCTAACTTTTGCAAGTAATAGAATCACAGGATCATTAAGGTTGGAAAAGACCTTTAAGATCATCAAGTCCAACCATCTATGCCCACTAAAGTCTCTATCTTTTGTCTGGAGTTCTTAATCTGAACATTATTAAGTTTTTAAAATTAAGGGGGGAAAAAAGAATGCATATCCTGAAAGATAAATACCTGGTCATTCTATTAGTAAAGTTGAGGTAATTTGGCTGAGACAGCCATTTGAGGAACTTCAGGAAGTCAAGAGAAAAATGTCTGTTCTTGGCCTTGGGCTAATAGCAGGCAGTGTGCCAGAAAGTGCAGAAGGTAGAAGTGTGTAGTCAGAACACTTGCGTACTGGAAGCTATGGAAGAAAAAGGGTTTTGAGATGTGAGCAATTACCTAGTTCTAAATGTAGAAAAGGAAAAAGTTAGTGTGAACACTGACCCAGACATTGGAAAAGTGTTCTGGAAGTTGGCAACAATTAGTTGGTGTGGCAGAATTAACTGGCAACACAATTAACTTTCAGGAGAGACTTAGGTAAATAAGGTTAATAAGGCACTAAACTCATAAACAGGTGCAAGGAAGTAAAATTGGGAAGGAAACATTTAAACAATATTTTCTCACTAGTTTACATTGATCAGTTGCAATCTTCCAGCAAGGAAGACAAATCCTAGAAATCACTGCAAATAGCTTAAAATACAACACCAGACGCTGGTAAAATACAGAGCAGAATCTTCTGAGAATAGTTCAGAAGTATTAGAGCTTCATGACATCAATCAGTAAAGGAGGAAACTGTCCTCATAAAGAAGTGCTGTTTGTATCACTTTGATGTAAAGTGAAGGAAAAAAATTAAGGATTAAGGAAAAAAATCCAAGTAGACAAACCTGTGCAAGGCTCTTGGAAGGCTCCTTAAGAGAAGAAATTGAAGAAATCCTCAGGAGCAGCAGTCACGTCCTGCATCCACATCCATTTTCAATATTGAACCGGAAGTTAATAATATGAACAGTTGTTCCTTCATCTGCTTTTCTGATTGCTATAACATGACTATTTTTTTTAACTGTTTGGGGTTGTGTGTATGTGTATTTTTGACTGTACAGGACACAGAGCCGAGTCAGTCTCCCCAGGATCCTGTAGGACGGCCCATTATGCACCAGTCTGGAATTAAGCATGCCACTGGTGAAGCAGTTTACATTGATGACCTTCCTTCTGTGGATGGGGAGCTCTTCCTGGCTGTTGTCACTAGCTCCAGAGCTCATGCTAAGATTGTGTAAGTGTTCAAACTGTATCTGAAGAAAGTGCTGTTATGAAATTGCTGTCTCAGATTTTTAGAGCAGACTAAGGAGTTGTGTGTATGCAGAACAGTATGCCTGATGCCCATGCTGGCTCGGGTGCTGGAAGTAATATTATCACTCTACTAGAAGGCTCTGTTTGGATTTACGTCTCACTCCATCTTACTGTACTAATAAGGTTGAACTGTTTCTGGTCCATGAGCCATCCTAGAGCTAGCCTAGGTACCTTGACAAAGTGCTGAGCTGTGCAGTGCAAGCAGGCACCGAAACTCACCTTTACCAACATAGCTTTGAAATTTTAACTATTATGAGAAAATTGTTCAAAATGTAAGAAATAGTGTTACAATGTTGCAGCAACAAGGTAGCAAAGCTCATATGAAGCCTTATAGGAGGGAATGATGGGAAGAGGATTTTATTTTGAAGGAAAACTGTTTTCACTTACGTTTTTGTACTGCCAAGGTACGCCTATTTTAGCAGTTTGTTCAAGATTCAGGCACCAAAATGCACACATCCAAGTTGTCTGCCCAGCATTCAGGCACCAAGACATGTATCCAAGTGGTCTGGTTAGGATTCCTTGTGATGACAGAGGAGTGGGGCTGCTAGCTATAGAGTCCTTGCCATATTTCCTGATTTATTCTTAGGTTGGTGATAGTATGCTGGGTTTGGATGTGCTCTTTTTGGTACCATCAAGGAGCTGACATCCCCCCACCTCTGTTAGTCAGTAGGATTTATTCACTCTCCTTTGTCTTCTGATTTGGGTGTCCAGAGAAGATGCGTGTAGATGTGCTGGGATCTCAATAACCTGCTAAACTAGGTGCTATCAAAACATGCCGTTCTTATAGACCTTCTGCCATTCTTTCTGATACTTCAACACCCATACATTTCTGTACATTCTTCATTTATACTGTTTGTGCCATTTCTATTATAATTCTCTACATAAACTCTGTTTGTGGATACTTATTTGTATCAGTTTGATATCTGTGTAGGCTGTGCAGTCTTAGAAAGTTGCAGTTGTAGCATCATAATTGTGCAGTGATTTTTATTAAATCAGTGCAGTTCAGGCAGTCTAATGGGCCAATGATTTCCCTCTTGCATCTAGAGTGTTTCCTAGAAATGAAGCAGGTTACTAGAGTTTTAAATTACTTTTGACTTGCAGTTCTTTGCACGCCAGAGATAGAAGGAAAAGACATGTCTGAACCTATGAGCAGATCCTGGCAGTACAAGAAACATACCTCTGTATTGTGTTCCCTTCCTCTGTGCAATGCTTTGTAAAACTAATGAATTACACTTCTCTCTTCCCACAACCCATCAGATCTATAGATACCTCAGAGGCTCTAAAAGGACCAGGCGTGTTTGATATCATAACAGCTCATGATGTACCAGCTACAAATGAGTTTTACTACTCTGATGATCCAGAGATTATATTTGCAAGAAACAAGGTATAACTACAATCTTTTTAACAGATTTGCTTCATTTTCTCTGCTTTTCTTCAACCTAATGAAATTTTACTTGCCAACTCTTGAATTTCTGTATTGTGCTTATGTCAGGGAACCACTTCAGGTGTACTACAGTAAATTATTTTCCTGTTCCCTTTTCAACTTCAAAATAGCTGATATGCATTATATTCTGCCTAGAGAAATATATAAATTAGAAGAATACAGATTAAACCTCACAAAACCATGTGAGTTGTTGGGTGAGTATATTTCATTGAAAGTTAGCCTCCCAAATCACTTATCCATTTTTGAATACTGTATTTTCCTTGATTCCCCAGTTATACTGGTATTTCTAATAATTTGTTAGCTTCATGGGTGATCTAAAAAAAAAGTTCTAACTCAAAACAAAATTCTAAAAAGGAAACATGAATAGTAGTTACATGAAAGAAGAATATCAGCAGCACGTATGGAAATAATTTCAATCCACTGTTCTATTAAGTGATGTGTATTTTACAGGTAATTTGTGTGGGTCAGATTGTCTGTGCTGTGGTTGCGGATTCAGATGTTCATGCCAAACAAGCAGCTGCAAAAGTGAAGATAGAGTATGAAGTCCTGGAACCAGTGATCTTAACAATTGAGGTACTAATCATTTATTTTCTGTTGCTTTTTTATTATTTTATCTATTTAGTTAATAGAATCAGCAGTTCACACTATTCACTTGCTTTTTAAACATGATTTTCTAAGGAAACAAGGTGAATATGAATATGCAATTAACCAGTCTGAGTCTCCCTGTAAAAAAATTTTCAAATTTTGAATAATTTTGACCACATGTGATAGATAGGCAACAGTCTCAAAGGTATTAAGGTCCTGCAAGTTTCATAATAATAGACATAAGAGTACAAAAGAAGAGCTCTTTGCCTTTTCCTCACTGGGAACATTAAATGAACACGCTGGTTGTTTATAATTCTTTTGGTAGCTGCCAGCGGGGCAATCAGCACGTGTATATTGGCTGAATGACCAGCTCCTGATTATCTGTAGCATTTTGTACCTGTTGTCCAGCTAACAAGCCACCAAAGTTAAGCTAGAGACATAGGAAGTGTTGGGGGAATGCGAGGGGAAAGATATTAGTGATATAGAATGTTTTAGGAATGTGAGGTGGGAGTCATAGGGGAAATGGACTTACGCTGGGTTAATGAGATGAGTGGCAGTAAGGAACAAAAGACGCATTTGCAGGGAACCAGCATTAGTTCTGGTAGTCACTTTACAGCTTGTTTCCATAATGCCTGTGGGATGTTACAGAACAGTCTTTCTAGTATAAAAATAGAAGTAGTCTCTTTTTAAAGACTGGCAAATTCTACTAATATTTCATTACAGCTGAAACTCCAATGAAGTCTTACTAGAAATAAAGCAAATCATACTTAAACAAATTCCATTTTTACTTAGTCCTTGCAATTTCTTCCCCTCTTAATGGCATCAATCCTCAGATGATGTGGTTGCATTCTTATTCTGTGCTATCTTTGTCACTTGCTAGATGTCTGAGAGGGAAGAGCAGGTTGAATAAAATGAATGCCTTTCCTTCAGAAACAAGATACATCAGCAAAGAATTGCTGGAACAGAATACACAAACTCATGAACAATGACAGTAAAGTGATAAAATACAGTTGTTCATTGGCTTTGGTAGCTGGTGGTTCAGTTCTCTGAAGAGAATGGTTTTTCTCCTGAGAGTAAAATGCCACAACAAGCTGAGAACCTTTGAAATATTTAAAAAAAATATTTCTCTTTTTCTCCACTGCAGGAAGCTATAAAGCACAACTCATTCTTTGAGCCAAAAAGAAAATTAGAACAAGGAAATGTTGATCAGGCATTTGAAACTGTTGATAACATAATTGAAGGTAAACTGCAGAATACATTTGGTGAGAAGTTGTTGTCAGTATTTGGGTTTGTCTGTTCTTCAAGTCTCAGTTCTACCTTTTTTCCATATAGCTGCTAGGCCTGAGAAAACTCTTGGTCACCTGGAGGTTAAACCTAGTGGTCTTGTGGTCAAACTACTGCATGCAAGCATTCTGCATCCTCTGTCCTTGAAACAGAATAATTAGGTTGGAAGGCGATCATCTAGTCCAACCTCCTGCTTAAAGCAGGTCCAGTTAGAGCAGGTTACTAAGGGCCATATCCAGTCAGGTTTTTAATATCTCCAAAGATGGAGATTCTACAAAATCTATAGGCATCTATTCCAATGTTTGACCACTTTCATGGTGAATTTTTTTTTTCTTATATCAAGTTGGAATTTCTTGTGTTCATTGCCTCTTACCCTTCCACTGTGCATCTCTCAGAACAGTCTGGCTCACTCTTCTCTACACCCTCCCATTAGGTAGTTGTAGATAGCAATAAGGTCTCCTCTTAACCCTTTTCTTCTTATGCATGAGTAAGTCCAGTTCTCTCAGCTTCATACTTCCTGGGGTCCTGACCATCTTGGTAGCTGCCTTTTTGACCTGGTCCAATATGTTCATGCTTTAATTTATCTATGTTTTATTTAATATTGTCACTGCTTGTAGGCAATATTGTTCCACTGTTAATCAAGTTCTGTTGATGCCACTGGAACAAGACCAATTTAATCCTGCAAGGAATTTCATCTGTGTTTTTATTTCAGATGTTGCTCCTTCATACAAGAAGCATCGGAAGATTTGATACTGATTACCATAATTTATATGATGATGGACAGTTAGTTCTTTCCTGGTTTGTTTCTTCTGTCCTTTTCCCTCAGAAACACTTGTGTTTTTCTCTTTGGATTAGGAGAGATTCACATTGGGGGACAGGAACACTTTTACATGGAGACTCAGAGTGTGCTTGCTGTTCCAAAAGGAGAGGATAAAGAAATGGATGTGTATGTGTCAACACAGCATCCAGCAATTATTCAGGTAATACAGAGCATTCTCAGAGAAAGTGGTTGAACCTGTGACAATAGAACTTTTAAAGTTTGGTTTACAAATCTATCTTAACAGTTTAGAAGCAGTAGGAACATGAAATTGCACATCTGGATTATCCAACAACAGCTGCTTTGTAGTACTGCTGTATCCTTCTAAACACTGACCACTAGACTGTGAGGATAAGGAGGAAGGAAAAGCCTCTTATTTCCCTTTGAACAAAGTACTTCATGCCCCACTAGTGTAGATGTGAAAAACTCCCTGTGGAGTGCTGGGTCTCCTCCACCCCCCTTAGCTTTCCATTGAGGTGAGGAGCAATTGGCACCCTGCAGAGTAAGAGTCTGCTGAGGGTTTGATCAACTCTAATAGCTGTAGGTGAGACTGCTGCTCCATGCCAAAATCATGATCATAGAATGGTTTGAGTTTGAAGGAACTTTTAAAGGTGATCTAATCCAACCCCCCTGCCATGGACAGGGTTATCTTTCACCAGATCAAGTTTCTCAAAGCCCTGTCCAACCTGACCTTGAACACTTCCAATGATGGGGCAACCTTAACCTGTTCCAGTGTCTTACTACCCTCATTGTAAAAAATTTCTTTCTTATGTCCAATCTAAACCTACCATCTTTCAATTTAAAACCATTGCCCTTTGTCCTGTCAGTACAGGCACTGGTAAGAGTCTTTCCCTGTTTCTTATAAGCCTCCTTTATATATTGAAAAACCACAATAAGGTCTCCCTGGGGCCTTCTCTTCTCCAGGCTGAAAAACACCAACTCTCTCAGTCTTTCTTCACAGGAGGTGTTCCAGCCCTCTGATCATTTTCATGATGGTAAATGGTAAAGCAAATGCTGACATAACATATGGTCTGCATAGCAATAGCTATGGTGCATGAAATTGATAGTATTTCAGACTGAACACTGGCATTTTGTGTTCAAAGCCCAGTTTGGCTCCTTTTTTCATTTCCAGTATTATTACATTGCCAATAGTCAAGAAACATGAAGAACTTCGTGCTTGAAAATAATGAAGTGAAGCAAGAATATTCCTGACACTAGCAAGACCTTAGATTATTAAAAAACGAATGTGTGTGTTTGAGTTAAAAATTAAAATCAAATTTATGACCTTAGTAATAAAAATAATTAAAAAATATTCTTATCCCTTTTTCTTATATCTGAAGTTTCTTACTGTTTAGATAATGAAATCCAAGAGTATTATTCTTCACTTCTGTCCATGGCCCTTTCACGGCCTCCATGGTGGAGATTTTAAATGTGAACACTGTGGAGTGTTTGTTCTTATCTTTTTCTTGCTATTTAACCTAGGCTGAAGGAAAAATTATTTTCATCTGATTAAAAAAATAAAACCCTAGAAACATCTATGGAACAGTTTTCTATAAAAGGCTTTTATTTCTGAACCTAACGTTTATGCTTAGTTTGAAATGGAATAAAAGATTAAAACTGGTTTTATACAGGAGATGGTAGCTGCAAGTTTAGGCGTTCCAGCCAATAGGATCATGTGCCATGTTAAACGAGTTGGTGGAGCTTTTGGTGGGAAACTCCTGAAAGCTGGCTTACTGGCATCAGTTGCTGCAGTGGCAGCAAACAAGTAAGTGCAGTATGTGTGTATTGGAATATGAAGAGAAAATGGGGTGAACAAGTTTCGCATTTTGGCTAAAATGCTTTCTCCTTTCCCAAAGTTGATAGCAAAAAGTAATAAAATCTTGACTGTTCACATTTTGTAAAACTGTTTAGTGCATTTCTTTGTTTTGTTTTATTAGACTGCTTATGTTACGCAGCTCTAGCCTCAACTAAATTAATGAGACTTGAAGAAATTGGTATTAGTATAAGCTAGAAATACTCTTGAAATGATTGAGCATTTCAAAAGGACCAGTCCCTAACTACTGATGCTTTGTATGTACATTCAAAACATGACATTAACTGTCCAGATGTGAACTGGCACAGAAGGAAGAGTTCATGAATGGAACTGCTTTTAAGAACAAGTACTTCTAGTTCAGTCCCCAATATCTTTCAGTCAAAATTAGCTTAAATCTATTAGGTATTATGTTTTTGCTAATACTGCTTGAATTAGTTTAGGAAATTTAACACATAAAGCTCTATCCCCCACCCTCCAAATTTGGCAGGACAATATTGGCAATTAGCTGTAAGGGGATAGTAACCTTTTTTATAAGTGTAACTGATTTGCTGTGGAATGCAAATCAGGCTACATCCTGTCTTAGCCAAAATGATCTTGTAATCTGAGTGGTTAGCTCAATACATTTCTCTTGTTACTACCATCATTGTTGTACAAAGTGCTCTTGATTATTTTTGGCTACCTTATCTGTGTTTTGGATTAACCAGGCCGTGCTAAAATAATCTTTTTTTATAGTTTAAACAATCTTTTTTCATTGTTAGGACCTTATTTTACATCTTACGTCCATTTTTTCAAAAGTAACTATTTTAAATGGTATATGCATTTTTAGACTAATTTTCATATTTTTATTATTATCCATGTTTTGGTTTTATTCCAAAGCACCCTATTTCAGTACTATTCTGAATAGCTAAGAGGCAACTATTTCATGCTTAAGGTTGAATGCTAACTGCTGTTTGCTCACTTAACACAGTTCAGTCTTAACACTAAAATAACTTTTTCTTCAAAAGAAGTTTGCACTGAGTTATCTCATTGGCTTTCAAGACATGAAAATTCAGACGTGATTGTAAATGCAAAAAAATATGAACTCTGGATATAGTTTCAAGCATATATTTAAACCTATTAAAGTTAAGTTTAATCTAAATGCATGTTTATATGCATGGCTAGATCTGGATATGTGATGAATAGCTATCTTGTTAACAACATTCTGGCTGAAATCTGAATTTTCTTTTGTTGATTTAGAACCAGCAGAGCAGTCCGTCTTATTCTGAGCCGAGGGGATGATATGTTAATTACTGGTGGCCGACATCCTTTTATTGGTAAATATAAAGTGAGTTCCACAAGAATTCAGTGAAAAAATACCTCCCCATATTCTGTGAATAAGTCTTTCAGTGTTACTGGTTAGTATTTCTTCTATAAATGAAAAGCAGTATAATCAACTCAATTTTAAAACAAAACTACTAGCCAGCAAACTGAGAGATAAAGTTGCTGTACAGCCCTTTCTCTGCTTCTGCTTCTGTCTCTGCAGGGTTTTGTTTTGATTTTTTCCTAGTCCCTTTGTGTCCTTTTCCTTTGGTAGCTCTTTGTTTTTCCTTCTGGGAACAGGAAGCCAAACTAGCTTAAAATTCTTCTGCAGAGGTTTATTTTAAGCTGTCCATATGGTTAGGTTCACACAGAGGAGCAGCTAGTTTTTCACAGAAACAGTGTCATACAGGAAAACTCACCCTGTGGAGGAAATTAATCTTTTCCCTGCTCATGGGCTGTCATAAGTCATAACTATTCATTAGGACAATTTCGGCCTTCTTTTCCATCTCTACTACATAGGTAAAGTAAATGTTTTAGAAGATGTTTCCCTAAACTTGAAAATGAGGTCTAGCTCAAGTTGAGAATTTGGGAACTATTAGTGGCAACAAGTGAAAAGAGAGATGTGAGATAAAGATACCATTTATTCATTAAGAAAAACAAATGTCATACTCCATCTGCCAGACACTATTCTTACAGTTGGAGTGGGATTTGGCTTTGTCTACAGTGAACATTTCTAGAGGACACACTTATCAGCCATCTCAGGCAATGTACAGGAAGCCACCGGGCTTCCCTGCTGCTTCCTTTCCCAATAGGCTGATGTTGCTTGTATGCTGTACCTATACAGATCACAGATGCCAGATGGGAAAACCAATATCTTAGGAGCATACTTCTTTCTCTCTTGCCCTTCTGTAGTTTCAGTGAGTGCTGCCCAGAAATTACTAGTGCAATATGACCCTAATTGTGTAGGTTATATTAATTTTCAAAATATACGAGCACTGAAGAAATGAATGAATGAAGTTGTTGTTGATCCTTCTAGGTTGGCTTCATGAATGATGGTAGGATCACAGCTGTGGATGCCAAATATTACATTAATGGAGGATGCACCCCTGATGAATCTGTCCTGGTAAAGACTTTATAAGCTGACAAATCTTATAACAGGGAGGAATCATTAGCTGGAAAATTATGAAGGCCAAATTCCCTTGCACATTTATTGTTAATCATATAGCCTTTTGATGTAGGGACCGTGAGTTGTTGGTAAATCTACACTTAGTAGTTTAACCTTTCCGTATTCAGTTCAGTGAAGCACTATACTACTTTTTGATATTTTCTTACACATTTGCTTAATGAATGATTTCTCAGGCTTATTTTCCCATAACAAACATGTCAACTAACAATGTATTCCTTTTAAAATACACAGTACCTGCATTTGTGGCCTGTCTAAAGTTTTATGTCTACAAGGCTGGGAAGACCTTTCTTAGACTTCAGAAAATTCATAGTAATAGTTGTCCTGTTACTATCTCTAGGAAGTGAGGAAGTGAACTACCTCAGTTCCTCACTTACAGGTCTGAAAAGTATAAAAAGTTGCTTGCTTTCGTATAAGTCACTAGCCATTTGTGTTTGCATGGGCTATTCTAGCTGTAACTGAATTGTTCGTTGAGGTTACTCCTCCTCATCTACTGCCCCACCTATGGGTATTTTCTGCACTCTAAAATCTGTCAGTGTAACTGCCCATGCTATTGGTGCCTAACCTGGTTCTGAAAAATAACCTGGGATAAAAAAACAAACATTATTAAAAACGTGTACATTAATGCAGATCACATGTCAGAACCATCTTAAGATGAAGTTCTACAATGATACAATGAAGCTGGTGGACCTAGAATTGGAGGCAGTGATAACCGAGTAACCTTTCCACCCAACTCAACTGCAGCTGGAATAGCACAGGTGATAACAGCCTAACTCTCTAACATCATTCCCTAATTAATTAGATCAATAACCAGTGGTCTAGCTGTGTGATTCCATTTGATTCTATTAGTATAGTAATAATAATTCAATACTTTTAAAAGGAGAAATAGGCTTATTGGAAATAAAATCGTAAGCTTTACCAAACTTACAGTCCAGGGTTTTTTCTGGGCCAGTGTGACTTATCTGTGTGTTCCCAAGACAGTATTTTGGGATTGATTCTTTAGAGAGGACCTTATTCTATGGGAGCCTAGCCCTAGAGAGAGCCAAGATACTTGATGCTCATCGTAATACAGACTGGTTTTCCAGCATAGGAGTTGAATACCTAATACAATAACTTAGTTATTGTTCCGTCAACAATTAATAATATGTTTTAACTTTCTGTGACTTTGTAAGATTAGAACAGACGTTTCTGGGAAGAAACTTCAGCATAGCTAAGAGTTATATTATAACAATACATTGTATTCACTCTGATTCATCAATAACCTTCTTAAGACTGATCAGCTTCATATACAAACTTTCTCTGAAGTCCATAAAAGTTGTGGTCATAATAATAATGAAAAAAAAGACTCTTTTTTTTCATTACGCAAGTAACATTTCAACTTCTATTTCCTGTGTGAAAAGGTAGCATTAGATGATGTTACTCATATGCACAGCTATTACAGCAAAACTGTCTTCAGCTGTTTCTATGCAGAAATGTTTTGAAGTTTATTGTTTAAAGCTCAGCGGGAACAGTAGGAATACAGGGTTAAATTTGCCATTCTAAGAAATCTACTTAGTATTGAAGAGAGACAGTTTATTTATTTGTCTTGATACTGACTCCTAGAGCCTAGTTTGAGGTATCTAATAAGAGATTTTCTTTTTCTTGTGTTTTTGTGTTTGTCATGTGAAATCTCTAAAAGAAAAACATAAAAACCAGAAGGCACTGTAAACTGCAGTACATATGCTTTCTGGTGGAACTAAACCATAACTGCGCATTTCCATAGGACATGATGGAATGATAACCCATTCACACAATGATAATTCATAATGCTTTCCTCAGTTCCTTTCATAGCTCCTATTGCTTTAAACGTAATCTGCCTATTTTTAGTTCTGTGTGGCTTTTGATATTGAAACAGGAGCAAAATCAATTGTAAAATGAAGTATTTGTTACATGCTTAACTACTGACCAGCACTCAACTACTAGTAACATCAGCTGTGTTCTGCGAATATCAAAAAAGAACTGGAAACTAACATGCTGCATGAGAAATATATGAATAAAGTCTGTATGTGTGCGTAAGAGTATTCTTACTACCAGCGACTGACAAAAACACAATTTTAAAGCCAATTGTCTCAAGTTAAGGCCTTTATATGAGATGAGGAAGATTTAAATGTAAATTTGAAAGAAGCACTGTTCTGACATTTAACTATATGTTTGTCCCCTACCTCAGGTAGCAGAAGTAGCCATATTAAAAATGGACAATGCATACAAGATTCCCAACTTGAGATGCTGGGCTTATGCCTGCAAAACAAACTTGCCATCAAACACAGCGTTCCGAGGGTTTGGCTTTCCCCAGTCAGCACTGGTGACAGAAACTTGGATAACAGGAGTTGCAGATAAAACCGGTTTATCACCAGAAAAGGTGACGAAATGAAGGCATCTTCTCTCCTGAAACGAAGTCTATGCAGTTAGAAAGTTAAAACCTTTTAGATTAGCTCAATTGTTTGAGCAAATCTTTTCTAAGTCAAACATAATTTGTGCTAAAATCCCTATTTTTTTAAGTCACTATCTGGTTGTTGAATGAATAGCATGCTCTTACAAACTGAACCAAACTGGTAATTGTTCAAAAAACAAATGGTAATCTTCTTGTTGTTTACTAGTCCCACCAAATGCTCAGTCTGCCTTTAACAGGATTGTGTAATAACTGTTAATTTTATTATTTCAGATTAGGGAAATAAATATGTATAAGGAGAATGACCAGACACACTTCAAACAAAAGTTTGATCCACAAAACTTAGTACGGTGTTGGAATGAATGTATGGAGAAATCTGCATATTACAGTAGGAAAACAGCTATTAATGAATTTAACAAACAAAATTACTGGAAGAAAAAAGGGATTGCCATTGTACCAATGAAGTTTCCATTTGGACTAGGCACACGTTATCTTTCCCAGGTGGGTTTCTTTAAAGAACAGGTGAACTAAGCTTTTTGTCCATAGGATATTACAGTTATTCTACCCTAGGATACAAAACAAATGTGTTACCTTTCAACTTCTGCAAAACTATCGTCCTCCTAATGGTTGTAACCTGAAGGCTACATTAGCTTCTAGCTCTCTTCAAACTGAGACCAAAGTTGTTTGCATTTCAGGACCAAGGCAGCTTGGACCCTGCCTACTTAAATGCCAGTCCCATCTCTTGTGATGTGGTATTGGTATAGATGAGCTGAACACTTTTCATAAAAGTTTTTGAGGACTAATGGCAAAGTGTTCATCGGATAAGTTATCCATTCTAGGAATAGCTCTGAGCTTACTCCTTCTGACCAGGGGTGTGTGTTGGGATGCTGTTCTTAAAGACTTAACCCTTTGATGCTATCAAAGACTAAGTTTATGGAAGAAAAGAGGACAGTAGTATTTTGGGTCTTTGTATTTTGTTTAATATAGGTGTCCAGTGCTTCTGGAATAGACAGCATTTTATCAATTGAAAATTGACTGACTTGTATCATATCAAACTGGCTGTGTCTGATCAAGACTTTACAGTGCTACTTCCAGCTGAATCTAGGAGGAAAATGTCGTTCAGAACCTTTCTTCTGTGTCTAATGCTGACAGCCTGCCCAGTTTATGCTGTTGAAAAACCTGTGTCCAAAGGCTCTCAAACATCAGTGAGAGAGAAAATGGAACTTGCAGCAATTTGCATGTACAGCCACTGGTGAGGAAGGTCCTCCAGCTTCTTTTGGAACCATTGAGATACTGTTGCCAGGTGTAGATTTATTTCAGGATCTAGCAACAGAAAAAGCAGATCTCCAAGGATTTGTATCTTTTTGTTTTGAAGCTCATTGTAGAGGAAGAGCATTCTAAATTTTGCCTTCTATTCAAAAGCATTAAACAGATATATTGACATACACTTCAAAACTGTGTCTGTCTTGATTCATCAGTTCATCACCATATAGAACATATTTCTCACTAGTCTAATTTTTATTTTGTTTTTCTTTTTTAGGCTGCTGCTCTGGTTCATATTTATACTGATGGGTCTGTGCTTCTGACACATGGTGGAATTGAAATGGGGCAGGGTATTCATACAAAAATGATCCAGGTAACACATGATCCAAACAAATATTACCTTGTGCTTTATCTGTCATGCAGATAAACAGCAGGAAGGTTTTCTTTTGATTAGTTAGTGTAGTAGTAGGACAGTTTCTTTATCAGCATAGCCACTGCTTCTTTGCATTGATGAGTTAGAAAGCAAAGATGCCTTCATTAAGAGTTATAGAGACAGTAGGAAGAAAAAAGAGATTGGTTTTTATTCTTCCAATGGTATGTGAAGAGACTTGTTAGAAATAAGATTTTTTGGGGGGCTGATCCCATAAAACCCATGGTAAAAAACACAGTCAGTATTCAGATTAGTATACAGTCCAGATGGTATTATTATGATCATATTGGTTTAATAGATAATTGAGAGAGAAAACTGTAAAGATATTTATCAAGTCAATGAACGCTTGGGATCTGGGCCTGTATAAATTGCCCTAAGTCATACAGGATATAAGCAGCAAAATTGGTAATTGAATGTAGGATTCCAGAGTCTCAATCCATAGTTTGAGTACAGCTAAAACATTGCTGCCCTTTTCTGTTTCTTGTGCTGACAAACTGGGCACAATAATTGCAGCTGGAGGTTGGAAGAGGACGTGCTAAAACTTTATCTTTCCTGGTATTGCTGACTTCTAGCAAGTACTAGGTAACTGTTGGAGTGTTTAGAATGTTTCTAAGACAGAGAAGAATATGTTGTTCTCCCTGAAACAGGTTGCTAGTCGGGAATTGAACATCCCCATGTCATGTATTCACTTTTGTGAAACAAGCACAACAACTGTTCCTAATGCATGTGCCTCAGCAGGATCTGCAGGGACAGATGTCAATGGCATGGCTGTGAAGGTAAAAAGTAGTATTTAGTTTAATAAAACACCCTATTCTTTGTGGTATTTAATGCCTGCCAAACTTTAAGCATTGGTGATCCCATAGAAATCAAGTTTGAGATTACCGATAATACCACTGGAGATTGCCAAGAAGAAATATGAGTTGTTGACAGTTTCTCAGTAATGGTGCTTATGAGTTTTCAGAATATGATCTGAGCTCTCCCCAAAAGGCTTATGTTTGACAGAATCCTGTTTCATCTAACAAACTAACTAGTCCCATATAAATCTTGTATCCTGTTCCTGTTCTAAATCTACTGATTCATGCAGATTCTAGTCCTTGTAACTTAACCCTTAATAAGGCTTGTGTCTATGCAATTAGAATGACAATTCCTACCATACTTTTTCAAACCAAGATGACAGTAAAGCATATACTAATTAAGTACTAACTAGAATATATCTTGAATAGTGCCAAATGTATCTGTGTAAATTTTGTGTTATATTCTCCTGACTTCTCACCAGGATGCTTGCCAAACTCTTCTAAAACGCCTGCAATCTATCATCAACAGGAACCCAAAAGGGACCTGGAATGATTGGGTAAGACATGTGAATCCTACTAAATGTGTTTTGTGGGCTTGCAGAAACTGTGGTATATATAATGTAGTCTCTATCTGTCTTCTCAGCCAAATAATCCTAAAGTTAAAAACTGCAGAAACAGGTTATTTCACAGAAAGATGGAGTGTAGGTGCTTGGTTTAGATATGTGGGAAACAATCCCCAGTTCATAAGTTGGAAAGGAGGGAAGCTATCTGTGAAGTCACATTTGGGGGCACAGAAGTTTTTTTATATACAAAGCCTATCCACTTGTGCAATAACATGACCCACCCAGCTTACCTTCAGACAAGCTGTTGCCAGAACATTGTCAGGGTATATGTGTACAGTGTCAGTTTTCCTACATGGCTGTTATTGATTTTTACCAAATCAATAAAGAGAAGCCTTCTCAACCTCTTCCTTCCATCTCCCTTTCCAGGTGCAGTGTATTACAGAACTGCAAAAATGTAGCAGGAATCCTTGCTGCCGTTGCTCTAATGTGCAATTAGTTATAATATTAGTTACATTTGCAGTAGAGTAGTACAGAAGTAGTGCTAAAGCTATTTATAGAAATGGCCCCTGCCTGGTGCCCACTTGAAACTGGGCTAGAAACTGAATTTTCCTAACTAAGAGCTTTCTGCTATAATATTAACTATTTTTATGAAGATATGGCTGAGAATTTAGTTTTGAGATGCTAAAAGAAAACCTGTTTGTTATGTCTTCTTATCCAGTATTACTTGTTATCTATGGCCTAATGAAAAGGACAATCCCTATCTTGAGACATTTACTGATCCAGTACAGTAGGGTGTTTCTTCTCAACTGATTAAATACTATAACAACTGCAAAAATGTAAACACTTTCTTGGCAGTAGTAATTCCTAGCAATAGCAAATAATATTGGAATACATGTGGTAGCTTGATAACTGACAGCTATGTATGCAAAGATAATCTCCTCTAATAGGTGCCAAATTGATTTGGATAATTCAGACACACCCAAAATATTAGCAGAAATGGCTGACCTAAGAAAGAATGTTAATATATGCAAAGAAGTAATTTTACATCTTGCAAAGTCAGTAATTACTATTAATTAAAAATTAAAAAAAAATTCTAGACTTGTAAACTGAGTAAATCTAACTGAAAGGGAATAGATTTGGGACCTCACACTGTCATTTTTACTACTAGCAGAAGAACACAGTCAAGAGCATTTCTCTTGTCAACTGTCACTTTTGTGCCAATTGGGCATACAAATCTTTTATCTCAGTGACTTATCAACCAGATCTGTTCAATTGTCAAAGAGGGACCCATTTCTATTGAACTTGAGCAGGATATTGAGCAGGGCCCTTTCTGACTATGACATTACCAGTATTAAAGATTCTGCAAGAGCGCTACTGTTGACAGGTCTATTCCTTATTGCCAAAAGACAAGAATTGCCAATTCAGATTGCTTGTCCAAAGTGGGTTTAGTTCTGTGGTATTAGGCACCATGTGCAGCTAAACATGCTTAACTCGGCTGGTCTTCCTTTCTTTACAATTTGTTACAGTTTGTTTTTTAACTAAATATGTGTAAATATATGTAAATAAAGTAAATATATGTATGCTGTGTTCCTTCTTGACTCCTTCCTTGGTTTACCACAAACACTGCTATATTTTACAGATTAAAGAAGCTTTTGAACAGAGTGTGAGTCTTTCAGCTACTGGCTACTTTAGGTAATATATTTTTGTTCCTTAAAAATGCACAGGTTAGACCAGGACTGGTATCTGAACATAACCAATTCTGTGAATAGAAGATCCTGTCCAATAGTTTTGTCTAATGGCTCAGCTTATGGCTTTTATGGGGGTAATTGTTTGGGGTTTTATGTAATTGTTTGATATATGGTGGGTTGGAATATAAAGTTTAAGTGTTATGTCTATGCCTAGCCCTATGTGGACTCTCTAGAAAGTATGAAAATAATATTTTGTCCCATCTTTGCTCCATGATTCAGCCATTAGCAAACCAGGAGGCATCAAGAAGGATGAGAGGAAATGCCCTCAAGTTGTGCCAGGGGAGGTTTAGATTGGATATTAGGAAAAATTTCTTTACTGAAAGAGTGGTCAAACATTGGAACAGGCTGCCCAGGGAAGCGGTGGAGTCACCATCACTGGATATGTTCAGAAAACGTGTAGACCTGGCACTTCAGGACATGGTTTATTGGGCATGGTGGTGTTGGATTGATGTTTGGACTTGATGATCTTAAAGGTCTTTTCCAACCTTAATATTTTTATGATTCTAAGAAAGCGACTGCTGCCCATAACAGCAGGTGTGCAAAGTGGGGTATAGTTTATTTACTGGAGGCTGTATTGCTATAAGCTATAAATATTGTTGGACTACAAATTATTTACACTTTTACCCACAAACATGATCACACCGAGTTGCATGACAGGAAGAATGAGTGGCAGCATTAGAATATTTATCCAGCACACACGTGTAATTAGCAACCAGATGCATTTGTGGAAAATTAGGCACATTTAAGTATAGATCTGTACCTTAAGGGTATTTATCTTTAGAAAAAGGAGAATTTAAAACATCTGGTAGTGTTTAAGAGAAAGCTTATGGTAAATTTTTCTTTTAAAACTTAACTCATGAATCAGATGCCATGATTCAGCACTAATTGAAAGCTATGGGGGGACTTAGTACTCACATGAGAAGTGGGGTTGCTCCCTGACCCTAGTTTTGGAGTCATTATTTTGACCTCTTTGGTTCTGGAGCCTCAGAAAATTCCCACCAGATATATATTCTTAGATATGGATTTGTTCATAACAGCATGCTATTGTAGGACATGGTAATCTTAAACACAATTCCTATTGCTTTCTCTCAGTGCAGTCTGAATTCTTTCACAGTGTTTATAAAGAACCAGAAAGGAAAATTTCCTATGTTATAACTGAGGTGGGATTCAAAGCAAAACTTCTCTCTTAGCCTGCTGTGCTCTCCATCCACCTGTATTTACCTACTTATCAATAGCAACTTTTCAGGTATTCAGGCAATCTGGAGTAAGTTGAAGAGGCACTTTGCAAACCCGTACTTATTTAAAACACACAAAAAAAGCCCAAACAAAATGTCTCTTCCTGCTGTTAGGGCTGTTCAAATACGCTTTCTGCTTACGTAGGCCTTTAGGAATGTTGATAGCTCCAAAGCAATGAACAGTCATACTTTGCTGTTGACGTTTAATAGTGTCCAAAACCATCTGCAGATCCCTCAGCCTCAAATCCTGTATTGATCTAGTTCTTATCCAGTCATATTCTTCACACCCAAGAATCTCAAAGCCAGCTGAGGTAGATGGGATGTGAGAAGTTGAATATGTGGATTTTGTGTATCCTTTTCTCAATGCACAGTTCAATACTTTGAATTATACTATAATTGTTTTATGGCGCATAAGTTTAAATATGCTCAACAAAGATATTTCAGTCATATATAGTCAGAAAATATGCTTTGGTCACATAGCTTACATGGTTGGGAGATACCGCATTTCACTGTCCCCTTGTGTCTGTTGAATTTACCCTCCTCAGTCTCACTCCCTTCTAAGTAATTACACCTTTATTTCAATATGCCTGTTTTAACCCTGTCATTCTCTAGCCAATTTCTGTAATTTTAACTCTTTCATTTATCCCTTTCATAGGTCCTGACCAGTCTTCCTCCTTTTTTCTGAATTCCCTTATGTGCTATTATCTCAGCAACCATTACCTTAGATTTGTATTCTGTACTTGATTTCCGTGTCTTTATTAGTATATTTCTGAGATTGGCCTGGTTATGGACTCTCCTGAACTGAAATAGCTTGCTTCTCTGCTAAATTTTATATAAATACCAGCTCCATCAAACCTAAACTGCTAGTGCTCTGTAGGATTTCATGGAACTCGACTGCTGGGTTCTGACCTGTTATTTAAGATTTCACTTAAAGTAGTTTCAAAATCTCATGTGCTCATCTGCTTTGTTATGATGCAAGTATTCATTAATTTTCTTCTTGTGGACTTTGTTTCTTCTGTCAGAGGTTACAATGAAAACATGGATTGGGAGAAAGGGGAAGGACAGCCATTCACATATTTTCTTTTTGGAGCTGCTTGTTCAGAGGTTGAAATTAACTGTCTAACAGGAGATCACAAGGTGATAACTGAGTGTCATGGAAGTTTTGTAAATAATATGAATGAGGTTTGTTTGTATCACTGGATGCTCCAACAACCATTCAGGTTTTGCATTAAGAAGTCACCTGTCTTGACATGATAGTAAATATATCAACAATGTAAATGCACATTACAGGTGGAGCATAATGAAAGCTGTGCAGTGTTAACCAGCTTTTTGCACATCTGTATTAATGTTATATGGATTCACCCTTTGGTTTATGGCAGACATCTGACATGCTCTTTGCTTGTTCTCTCCCTGTTTGCCAGCAAACAAATTACAGCAGAGCTAAATATTCTATTTCCAGGCTTTTGAACATCTAGACAGCTAAATGTCATAGACTGCTGATCATATGCCCTCCATCTGTACTTATTTGTGTGAGGATTTCCTTGTGCAATGGCAAAAAGTCTGGCAGGGCTGTCTCTGGCAAAAATTCTGTTAAAGTTGAGACAAGTCCATTTTGCTTGTAATGAAGTATTGGAAATTGTGTTCATGGAGGGGCCTCTATCTTAGCATATATTATTCCACTGAATACCAATTCTAACCCACATTATGTTCTAATGCCTCCACTCCATGCACCTCTCTCAGTAATACACTTTTGAATTTTATTGACAGAACCTCAGAACAGACATTGTTATGGACATTGGATGCAGCATAAATCCAGCTGTGGATATAGGACAGGTATGTGCCAAGAATTTCATGCTGTCTTATTTCTGTTACATTGATAGTCTTATCTGAAGTGAAGATTACCTCATTAATTCAGAAAACATTAATTTCTTATAAGATAACGTTATAAGTCATAGATCATATTAGAAGGTCCTTTAGTTGTAACCTTGCCCCATCTGAGTCAATGTCAGAGATCCTGTAGATGTCAATGAAGCTTGAATTTTACCCATGGTGTCAACCTGTAGTACTTCCTTGTATGTATATATGCCCACTGTCCGCTGGACTTAAATACTGTTTGTGATCTACAGTCTCCTGTTGCTTGACCTGCCTTCCCCACTTGATAGCCGGGAAACACCTTTCTTCATTGCAGGCTGGTGTACAGATCTCATCACTTCATCATGAAAGCATTTGTCTCTGCCTGGTATCAGAGAAGAGTGTGCAAGTTTTTCTGATCACGGTAGCCCCAAAACGTTGAAGAATTCCATTAGGCAAACAGGAAAGAAAAGAGTCTTCTAACAGCTAGTGATACAAATCAATTCTTGACAAAGTTTTACCCATTTTACTAAACATGAGAATATAAATGCTATTTCTTTTCTTATTTAAAGATCGAAGGTGCCTTTGTACAAGGCATTGGACTGTACACAATGGAGGAATTAAAGTACTCTCCAGAAGGAGTCCTCTATACTCGGGGTCCAGATCAGTATAAGATCCCTGCTGTTTGTGATATTCCAGAACGGTTTAGTGTTTCCCTGCTGTCATCTTCCCAAAATCCTTATGCCATCTATGCATCCAAGGTAAGCAAACCATCCCAGGGCCTGATTCTTAGATCTCAAGACAATCAGAGAAATTACTGTGATATAAAATATATATATGTTTTCAGTTCCCCTTCTTTAGCATTTCAAACAAGTGTCCATAAAATTGTTTTATTTACGCTATCAGGGAAACTAATATGAAAAGATATAATGTGAGATATTGCTGCATATCTTTCATGGTTGGCAAATAGTAATTTTATGGTTTTGTTAACAGATCATACACAGAAGCTGCAAGATGAATTTAAAACCATACTTTTAAAATGTGGTGATAAACCAAAGGGTTAGAATAAAAATAACAAAGAAATTGATGGAGAAATCGTAATGGCAATGAGAGTGTGCAGCTTATTTATGTGTGTTATGCAATAAGAAATAGGATGGTATGTGTGTATTTATAAGAGAGATTGGCTCAAGTATTCAGCTGGTATAAGCATTGCTTCAGTTTACACCAGCAAATATTCTGGCCAGTTGCATATAAGTAGAAATGGTAAATCAAGATGAAGGTAATTCTGCAAATTTTCAGCTGTTTCAACTATTAGGTATGCTTTTAGAATACAGTAAAATAACACAGCACAACAGGAGGAAAAAGCATATTTTAAGGCAAAAGTTATTAAAGAACAAATAGGTCCTTAAAAACTATTTAAAGCTCTCTCAGTGATACCTAATTAGAAAAGTATTTGTTTGAAAAAAATATCATCTAGGTGAAGTAGTTACATAGTCAATTTGGAGCTGAGCTGATCTAGAGAGCTGATAATATCTCTCTTCAAACAGAGCTTTTATCCTTTTCTGTGAACTTATCTCCTATAATTACCCTTCAAATTCCCTCTAGTAAGACATGATTCTGTCTTCATGCAGCATGTTTGAGGAAGACATTTGGTTCTCAGATTTTAGCAAGGACATAAGTAAGATTCAGTGGCAATATCCCAATCCAATCCAGATTAAAATATTCAATACCACAGCAATGAGAGGACTATAAAATAAGGGTGAATTTGACCCTTATTTGAGATAAGGAAAAAATGTGAATCTTATATCAGAACCAGTGAGAGGATGTCAAGCCCACTGAGTTCAGTGTTTGTCTGCAGGGAATTATCATGAGTTCAGGCTTTGTTTCTTAGTTGTATCTGTACCTAGGTTTGGATTGCTTTAATTTTATCTGCCAGTTATTCTACATTTCAGTTTAGCAATGAGCCAAAATATTCTAAAATCAATAGCCAATATTTGAAATCAACATTTCTAGCTTCCTGGAAGCAGCTACCATCAGAAGACTTGGTGTTATCTAAGCTTGCTTCCATTATATCTAAGAGAAACTTCCTTACTGAAGGACTATTGAATCAATGATTTTTAAGCTTTCTAGTTGATACTGATATGGCATGTACTCTTCTTATTTGCTCAAAACCTACAACTATTTGACTGTTTTTTTCTTTTTCAGGGGATAGGTGAGGCAGGACTTTTCTTGGGATGCTCTGTGTTCTTCGCTTTGAGAGATGCAGTAACTAGTGTGAGGAATGAAAGAGGAATGAACAAGACCTTTGCACTGAACAGTCCTCTGACTGCTGAACAAATACGAGCAGGCTGTGCAGATGACTTTACTGAGATGGTAAATAGGAAGGTGGGGGAACGGTCTGTTTGAGTATCTCTGGGTAGAAGTGCCTACTGCTTTTGGCACCCTTGAATGGTGGAGTGCCTAATGATGTCTCAAATTGGTCATGCTTTGTATACAGCAATATCATATGGCTCCTTGTAATTGAAATGTCTGGTAACAAGTCTCACTCACACAAGTTATTCCAACAAATGCCACTCAAGCATTGCATTGGAATTTCCCTGGGTTTGTATAATCTTTTTTTTACTTACATAATTT